TATATATATATAATTAAACAGATGTGTTCTTTATCATTTTTTTCAATTTTTAAAATTTTTTACATTGTCGAAAAAAGATGGAACAGTACCCATCTATATATTCTAATAGCATGTTAATGGACTTAGCTAGCTGTATATTAATTTTATATGGATCTTTTTCTTCTTGTTTAAATTTACTATTACTATTATTATTTGTTTGTTTATTATTCATTAAGTTTATATGCTGCCTAACTACAATGACTCTGGGCAGTTCACAAGTAAAAGCATTAAAAATAAGGAAAAAATACAATAGTAGACAAAAATGAAGACTAGAAGATAAGAAAGATGACAAAAAACCAGACAGGAATGAAAAAGAGATAATCCCACACAATTTAAAGGGAGCTTCACTCACCCTCATTATTACATATACTTTTTTTAACTGGTTTTTGGGAGCCTAGCTTTATTTCTTGTAAGGTTTACATGGGATTTTTCTATTTGTTATACTTTTACTATAAGCCTTGTACTAATAAGGTTTAGACCAGACAGTACTTCTTTGTGTTTTTTTTTATTTGTTTCTTTTTCCCAAATTACAGTTTAAACAAGATTTCAGCAGTATTTCCATATGATTATGCAGAGAAGGTATAGAATACATTCGATGAAGTCAATTTAATAAATAGAATGCCTGAAGAACTCTGCACTGAAGTTTGTGACATCATTAAAAATGAAATAAACACAAATATCCCAAGATACCAACAAAGTGAAAATGGCTGATTTATTTAAAATAGCTGAAGAAAGGTAGAAAGCAAATGGCAACAGACACCAAGAAAAATCCGCCCCTCAAAATGCTGAGATCCAGAGAACAGTAAGAAGAAACAAGCCTCTCTCTCTCTCTCTCTCTCTCTCTCTCTCTCTCTCTCTCTCTCTCTCTCTCTCTATACAATGCAAATAAACTAATCAAATGGGAAGGAGATAGATTTAGTTAAGAGTATTATAGAAATCAAGGGAAACTTTCATACAAAGATAGGTACAAGAAAAGACAAAGAAGGCAAAGTTCTACTGAAAAAAATATATATAAAAAGAAATGGTGCAAATATACAGAAAAATTTTCCACAATTATCCCAAATTGATTCAGTGTATGTGTATGTATGAAGGCTTGATCTCTGAAGAAGTTGAAGCAGGTTGAGCTTCCTAGGCTCAAAAATTCAGAGATGGTGATTGTAGCAATGAAATAGAGATATCTGCAGTTTGGGAGAAAGACCATGACAGATCTAGACAAAATGTTAAAGTGCAGAGATGCTGCAGTAACAACAAACATATGCATGGTTAAGGTCAGGTTTTCCTAGTTGTAACATGTGGCTGTGAAAGCCAGACCATCAAAAAGGCTGAATGGAGAAAACTATATGCCTTTCAACTGTGGTGCTGGAGAAAATTGTTGAGAATACCTAGGACCATAAGAAGAACAAATCAGTCATTACTAGATGAAGTAAAACCAGACTGCGGTGGCGCAGCGGGTTAATAACGCTGAAAGTTGCCGGCCAGAAATGGTCGACGCTTCAGCGGTTTGAGCCCAGCCTTCTGTGTAGCAGAGTGAGCTCCTGCTTGAACCCCCAGTTCCTGTCAACCCAACAGTTCGAAAACTCACGTGAGTAGATAAATGGGTACTCTCATTCCTGTGGGAGGAAAAATGCTGGCGACGCCTTGCAAAAGGAGTCAGGAGCAGTTGCCGGGCAGTGCAACCACGCTCGCCCGAAAAGGGCACGAAGCAATGGAAACCCCGCCTCCTGTGCTTGCCAGCTGGGCTCTGCTCTAGGAAGGAGGCTCTGGCAAACCACTTCTCAAACACCTTGCCCTGAAAACTGCAAAGGACTCGTCCCAAAAGCAGTCACTGCGGGGTCGGTAACGACTGAGTGCACCATTAAAAAAAAAAAAAAACCAGACTGCTCATTGGAATCATTAATCATGAAACCAATGCTAAAATATTTTGGAGACATAATGCAAAGGTAAAGTCACTGGAGAAGACCCTAATGCTTGGAAAAATTGAAAGTAATTGAAAAAAGGCAAACACAAGGCAAGCAAGAGGGCTAGATAGGATCGCTGATGCCACAAGCATAAGTTTATGCTTAACTGTCTCCATGTGTGGGCTACAAGCTTAAATATCTTGTCACAGCAGTTTCCATACTCTTGGAGACATATTTTTCCATGCTAGCGTTACAAAAGATACTGCAAAGAATATCACACATCCCCATAATAGAGAGCTAGTTTGGTGCAGTGGTTAAAAGTGCTGGCCTAGAACCCAGGAGACTGTGAATTCTAGTCCTCCCTTAGGCATGAAAGCCAGCTGGGTAACCTTGGGCCAGTCATTCTCAGCCCAACCCACCTCCCGGAGTTGTTGTTCCAGGGAAAACAGGAGGCAGGAGTATTAAGATATGTTTGCTGCCTTGAGTTGGCCAAAAATATAAAAAGCATGTTAAAAATCTAATAATAACAGTAATAGTACAGTGGAGCTCTATGCTGTTTAGACAGAGAAAAAATAGAAATAGAACAAAAATAGAAATTAAAGTTTGGTATCAATTAATAAAGTAGGAAAAACAGAAAATTATGCAATAATAAGAGAAAATATATACAGAATAAAAGTCTGATTGCACAGATTATGAAAATATCAATATAAAATGAATGCAATACTAGGTAAAAGAACCAATGGTTGCTTACTGGAATCAGAGGAGATATAATGGAGGAATGTCCTCTTTCTGAAATGCTGAGGTCTGGGAACATGAGATGTACAGAGTACTTTCCTCAGCAACACTAAGTACAGTGTCAGCACCAGCTGAATTGACTTTTCATAAGCTGCATATCATTTAGGCACAAAGACTTAACCACTTACCTTTCCTAGAGGTACAGTCAGTTCAACTTCCTTTCCAAGAGGGAGTTCTGACACTGGAATAATTCCATTCCCAACCACTGAGGCCTTCACCTGTAAATCCTCACTCCATCCCTCCTAGGAACAAAATAAAGTTGCTGTAAATCAGATTATACAAAGCTACATACAGGCCAGAAGGAAGTCCATCGAGAAAAAGGAAAATGGGACCGCAGACTTTGGCAGAAGGCCAATGTAAGCAGCAAAATGCCTATGCTACTCAGGGCTGGAAAGCCCAGAAGAACACAAGCATGGTTCTTCCCAGGGGCTAACGGCTACTTCTGCCATTCCTGCTCATCCAAATTTTACAGGGGTAGGGGTTATTTTTGTTTTGTTTTTTGTTTTAATTATTCTGGGTGGATAGGGGGACCACAGAGAAGTAGTGATAACTAGCAGTGGGGCTACACTGCTTAACCACATTATTCTGGGTTCATTTAAAAATATTGTTCAGAACTCAGTGAAATGAAATTACATTCTTAAGGCAGAGTTGATGGATATATCTTTAAAGCCGCTGCTTCACACATAGCAGATACTACTCAGACTGAATAATCACCAATTTACTTATTTTCCCCTTATGAATCTGTATCAGATTTATGTTTAATGTTTACACATAAAACACATATGCACAGCCATTATATATGCCTAACTATCTGTTGAAATGGTGACACTTGCTCTGAGTAATAATTGAGGCCCTAGCAAGCAAATGCACCATCTTACCTCTAGCACTGCTGTGGTTTGTAACAACTCTAGGTTCAGGTGAGAAGACACTTCTTTGTTCACATGAAAGATAAACGGGATCTTCTCGTTCTCTTCTAAATTTATTCCACAGAACATTGTTAACTGATTTTCAAAGGACCCTGGTACTGATAAGTTAATTTGGCAATTGTCTGAAAATGAAAAGAAGCATTTAAAACCAATTGGTTTTTAGGAAGGCCATAACAAATGGCTTTTCCACAGAGCCTTGGGGACAGAATGGTTATAAGTCAGTGTTGTCCAAACTTGGCCACTTTAAGATGAGTGGACTTCAACTCCCAGAATGG